GTTGATCAGTTAATACCAATTTGATGGTGAGTACATGTGGTGCTTGTCTTTCCATTCTTGGGATACCTCACTTAGTAGAATGCGTTTCAGCTCTATCCAGGAGTATACAAGAGGTGCTATATCACCATTGTTTCTGAAAGCTGAATAGTACTCCATGGTATACATATACCACATTTTATTAATCCACTCATGTATTGATGGACACTTGGGTTGTTTCCACATCTTTGCAATTGTGAATTGTGCTGCTATAAACATTCGGGTGCAGGTGTCTTTCTTATACAGTATCATTTGCTCTTTTGGGTAGATGCCCAGTAATGGGATTGCTGGATTGAATGGTACTTCTACTTGTATCTCTTTAAGGTATCTCCATATTGCTTTTCACAGAGATTGCACTAGTTTGCAGTCCCACCAACAGTGCATGAGTGTTCCTATCTCTCTGCATCCACGTCAACATTTATTGTTTTGGGACTTTTTGATAAAGGCCAGTCTCAATGGAGATAAGTGATATCTCATTGTGGTTTTAATTTGCATTTCCCTGTTGATTAGAGATGTTAAGCATTTTTTCATAGATTTTTTGGCCATTATTCTGTCTTCTTTTGAAAAGTTTCTGTTCATGTCCTTTGCCCACTTTTTGATAGGGTCGTTTGATTTTTTCTTGTTGATTTTCCCGAGTTCTAAGTAGATTCTGGTTATCAGCCCTTTATCGGATTTGTAGCATGCAAAAATTTTCTCCCATTCTGTAGGTTGTCTGTTTGCTCTTGTGACAGTTTCTTTGGCTGTGCAGAAGCTTTTTAATTTGATCAGGTCCCATTTATTTATTTTGGTTGTTGCTGTGATTGCTTTTGGGGTCTTCTTCATAAATTCTTTGCCTAGGCCAATGTCTAGAAGAGTATTTCCAACATCTTCCTCTAAAATTCTAATAGTTTCACTCCTTAGGTTTAAATCTGTTAACCAGCGTGAGCTGATTTTTGGACCATGTTTTATTTTATATCCTTGGACATATTATAATAGCAGCTTTAAAAATCTTGTCTGAAAATTTCAATATCTAGGTCACCTTAGGGTCTATTATTGTGGCTACATTTTCTTTTGACTGTGGATCACATTTTCCTATTCACATATCCCTTAATTTTTAATTAGATATGAACATTGTGAATGATATTTTATAGAAATTATAGACTCTGTTTTCTTCCTTTAAACGGTATTGATTTTTTTGTTCTATCAGGCAATTAAATTTTTAGCTGATTTAGCTTCAACTTGTGGATGGATGCTTTGTGTTACACTTTGTTAGGGAGGATCTGTGTTGGTTTTGCCCTTCGTTTTAGTGTGACTCCTTTACTTTGACAGCATAGCCCCTCTGAGATTTCAACAGAAAACCTAGGTGTTTACCAAGCCCCTCTAACGTGGGTGGGATTCAAACTCCAAACTCTACAGGCAGTTACCTGTACGCAGTAGGCAACAGTTGAAATCTCTGTTCAGCCTTTTCATCTTTCTAGCTATTGTTTTCCACTGGGCTCATTGGCATCTTCCCCGCAGATATACCGTTTAGTTGTTATTCAACGATTGATGGGAATTTATATATAGAACCAGGGGCTCTCTTCTCTATGGCTCCCTCCTTTCTGGGATTTATTTCCTTAATTCCCAGCCACTCTGGCAGCCCAGAACTTTATCTTTTGCCACCTCAGGGCATTACACTTGTGGCTTTCTCGTTGAGTCCTAGTTGTTCTTCGTGGACTGGGTGTGTCCTCAGGGGAGAAGCTGTATAAACGTAGTTCTCACCCAGTCCATGCCCTTCTTTCAAGGATTGAATTTCCTACATTCTCTGCCTTCTTGTGGTTAGAATACAAATAGCTTTTTTTGAAATATTTTGTACAGAGTATATAATAGCTATCTGCAGGAGAGTTAGCCCAATATAAGCTCTTCCATCATTAACATGAACATAATTGGAACTCTGTCACAGATATTTTAATTTATGTTTTCATATGTGTGTACGTGTAAAGATTAAATTCTTTCTTTCATCTTCCTGAATACTCACAGGATCATTAAATAATACACCCTGAAGGGATCCTCAGGTATTGTCCAGACTACTCCTTCCTATCAGTCAATGACTGTCTAAAACCAATCATAATTAATCTCCTGTTTGTAAAGAGTTCAGGAAGGAATGATGCTTCTTTAGGAAATAAGTTCTGTCTGGAGACTCCCAACTTTATACTACAATTTAAGTCCATATAATGGCTTTAAACAACTCAAGGTCATAGAGTTATACAGACAGAGGGATGTATAGGCATTGCTGAAGCCAGGTCTGTCCCACCGTGTCATGACTATGAAAGAGGTCCCTTTCCCAGTGCCTGTGTTTGCTATCTCCAGTTTTCTTTGCTCTGCTTCACTTCTTTAGCTCCCATGGAGCCCATAATTTTTCATCTATTTTACTTTGGCTCTCTCTCCTTGTTCCGTTTTCTGAAATCTGTATATCCCTGGTTCTGTTTACCTGGCTTCTAAATCATTCTGATAGCCTCTGATCCTTAATGTTATGGGCCAAACTGTTTCTCCCCTAAATTCATATGTTGAAGTCCTAACCTCCAACACCTCAGAAGGTGACTGTATTTGGAGACAGGGTCTTTACAGAGGTAATCAAGTTAAAATGAGGTCATTAGGGTGGGGCCTAATACAATATGGCTGCTGTCCTTATAAAAAGGAACACCGAGACAAATATGCACAGAGACAAGGTGGGGTGAAGACACACAGGGAGAAGATGACCATCTACAAGCCAAGGAGGGAGGCCTGGGACCCATCCTTCCCTCACATCCCTCAGAACGAACCAACCCAACCAACACCTTGATCGGGGACCTCCAGCCTCCAGACTTGTGAGAAAATAAATTTCTGTTGCTTACACTAGCTAGTTTGTGGTACTTTGTCATGGAAGCCCTACTAAAGTACATTTACCACTTAAAAATAATCCAATCCCAGTTTTCCTACTTGATTCTGACTCATGGCTTTCCTTTGTCTCTTGAGACCCACACCCCTTGGTATGGAAAATGGACAAAAATTAGAAGGCTTATGTCTTAATTTGTCACTGACGTTGAATGACCTTTCCGATCCTCGGATTCCTTATCTGTAACATGGGGATGTTGTCCGTGCCCTACCTACCTAAAAAAGCTCAAATGAGGTACTGCACATAAGAATGTAAAATGCTACACAAATCTAAGGCATCCGGTGTCTCACTCTCTATTCACGACATGCAGCACCTCATGCCTGATTATAACAGAACCACTGTTAGAGGTTTCTGAGAGGTTTCAAGTTCAGAATGCCCCACTTCTAAGAGAGACGCCTGCAATCTATTATTTCTAGTTTAAGAGGCAGGATGGGAGGCAGATGACAAAGGAACTGCTTTGCTCAGAGAGGCAGGAAGGTGGGGTGGTGCTCCGAGCTTCCACTATTCTTACATCTCCAGAGGGTTTAAAGGTAATTCCTCAGACAGCTTATTTATTTTTATTCATGTTACAAGAAATAAGGCACTGAGTAATGGAAATCAATTCTTTTAGGAAATGGACTTTTTAGAAATACATAAGGAAAGCGGAACTTTAATGGCACATCAAATTGCCTTAACAAAACTGATGCCTACTGAATGTGATTTTAAAATATGTAAAATTAAATGCAGGATGCTAGCAACTTCCCAATATATTTTGTTTTTTCCCTTAGTTTTTAAAATAATTTTTGTTGTTGAGAATTTGAAAAATTGTTATTTCTACAATAATTAACAGTTTTATTAAATAATCTATAAAAAATACGACTTACTCCTTACATGCTAGTTGCATAAATTCTTATGTAGTCTCAAAGGTTACTCAAAAGAACAGAATTTTTCAATGATTCTACCCTTTCAGTTCTCTATAATGCCTCCAGATGGCATTAAAACCCTTTCCCCATTATATTTTGCAGCACACACAAAAAATTAAAAATTAGTAATATTTTAACCATTTAAGACCAGTCATATTCATTACACATATATGAATTATATAATTCATTATATAATTTTTAGGGTAGTATCTTAAGATAGACAAACATATAATTATATCTCTTATGAAATATATAGCTATCCTGTTCAGCCAAAGGATTTTTCTAGACTGAGAAACAGATCTTGGACAAAGTAAGATATTCATTATTATACCACAAACTGTGATTTCTAATCAATAGCACTTCAAAAGTGCTTAGTAATAAGAGTACTATCCACATACAGATAAATTCACAAACCCTGTCTTATAATAAGAAGACACATCTCACTCCTCAGATGTGATAAAAATAAAGCTTTTAAAGGAGCAAACCTGTTACTGATTCCCATGGAGCTAAAATAAAGTCATTTGTCAGCTCATAAATTATTATATTTAAATGCTGGTATCTCATCTGGCATCAAATTAATCATTAAAAACTTATTTGAGAATATTGAGAGGAAAAAGACAAAACAGTGTGAGAAATACACATTTTGTAAAGAGCTTTTCCGTGTCTTTTAAAAACTGCTTTTGTTAATTCAAAAACAATCAACATACTCTTGAGATTCCAGAGATATCTATAATTGTATTTTTCACATAATTCAGAGGTGAGGTTGCAGATGGAATGACCTTGTATTCACAGGTGTGTGGGACAGAGTATCTCCTAGTAAGTGCAAAAAGTTCTGCAATTCTTAAGACAGTGCTGAAAGTCTCCAACCAAATTCTAAAGGGCTTACCTCCTTTCTCCCCTCCTGTATACATCCTTAAATCTCATTACATTTCTACTATAAAGACAAGCATTTGCATTTTTCAAGATTCCTCTTACTATGCTACAGCACAAAAAAAACCCCTCAAAATGCATCTGCACTCAAAGCATTTAAAAAGACATTATCATGAGAAAAGAGAACCATGGGCTTCCTTCCACTATTATTATTACTATTACAAGATACTTGCACTATCTCATTTTATAAGACATATTAAAGAACAGTCACCTCTGATAGAAACACGAAAGAGACTTACGATGTATTCGATGTGCCATTGTCTGGACTCTCTGGCTCCGCATCACCTTTCTCTTAAAAAGGAAGCAGAAAAAAATACCGACATGTGAATCTTACAGTTTCTAAGATTTAAGAGAGATTAAATATATTTCCATGCTCCTATTAACAATCTTTCAAAATGTGTAGCAGGAGGCTTTTAAAGTATCTTTTATTATCTGAGAACCGGATTTGCAAAATAATTTCTTCTTTGCAATGCAATTGCCCAGGCACAGATCTGTGAGTAGGTACTAAGGAGCTATTTGCAAACAACCAGAGGCTTGGAGTGGAGACCTTGCCAGAAGATGAATATCTTACAGATGGAACGTGTTTCCTTCTACTTCACTTCACAGAAAATGTAAGGAAATAAACCCATTAGCATTCTATATCCAAGGCACTTTGAACTTTGATCCCTTCTGCTAACACAAGCCAAACCAGGCCAGGCTGAATCAGAACTTGGAGGGGAGAATTTCACAAAACGCTGAGGGTGCACCATAGGTCACAAGATCCCCCCCAAATTATACCCCATGGAGTGCCCTGGCAGCAGTTTTGGGGGCCCCCAAGTTAAAGCAGAGTTAAGATGTAAACCAGAAATCCTTCCTGAACACCTGAAAGGCTAGTTAAAGAAATGTTGCTGTGGGCTGTGGTCACTGAGGATTTAACAAGTTTTAGTTAGGGGAGCCTGGAACCAGTTCACTTTTTGCAGTTTTAAAAGGCAAATTCCTCTCGCAATAGGCATAATGTAATTCCTAATCCTCTAGCCAATCGGTGGTTTGCACCATGCATCCTCATTTCGTAAGGAGCTTCTCTGTGTTTCCTTGAGGCTTGGGGATGGAAGGAGAAGGGTCATTCACGACTGAGAGTGAGTTAGCTGTGGCTGCTGATGGTGTACAGCACTAATAAACCCCAGAGAAGGTTGTGAGCTGCGAGAAATGGGCCTGATGGTGGCAATCTGCTTTAATGTGCTCTTTCGAGTCAGGCCTGGACGTCTCTGGAACCCCTTGGCTTACTACTGTACCAACCCGCTTTTGTCAGCTGTCAACATTAGCTTGTGGTCACCTAGTCTCAAGAATGACTCCCTCAATCACACAATGAACACATCCCAAAGTTACTGCCCCAACTAAACGCAAAAGCTGACTTCATATTTTCATCTCTTTTTCTTGTAAGAATAAACAGTTGTGAGAAGAAGACACAGTTATTTACAGTTCATGCGTCTATCTCAGACACAACTCTGTGCTGTGTCTGCACACTGCCAGAACCACCACAGGAGACAGCTACTTTGTCAAAAAACCAATCAGATTAGGGGAAAAACAAAAAAAGCCACAAAATCTATTTGAACTGCCTTAATAACAAACACTGCTTAGAAAGGGCCCAGTACATATGAGACCCTGTGAAACAAAGGCCAAGGCAGCCAATTAATACACTTGCTCACTCTTTTACATGATATTTTGTCTTGCAGGCCAGGTCTGTGGTGTACTCGTTTAGGAGACCTGGAAGGCCCGGTCAACTGGCTTCGCCACTGGAAAATAATTTAGTACTTTCCAGAATCATTTTTCCACTGAGCAACTACAATTCCTGCCATAATCTCAAAATAGAGAGTTATAACACCTGCATTACGTAAGAAAAAACTAAGTAGGGGTTTAATTTTTCTCAAATATATTGATCCCCTTTTTTCTCCTTTAATTTGGTGACACTGGTTACCTTCCCCATTCTACAGCCTTTGGGAGTCACCAGGTCCATCATAATCAAGCATGGAAAACAGGAGGCCCCGCAGCAGCAGGCAACAGTCACCATTTCCAAACGATTTATGTCAGAAAACAGGAAATCGAAAATACAAACGAAGACTTCGTTTGGATGTTTGAATAAATATGTTTTACCTTGACCAATAATGCAGCCTGGGTCATGGGCTGGCTTCGGCACGGGGATAAAGCTGCGGCCGATTATCTCTGCTCTTAGCAGCATTTATGTTGTGGCAACAGGGAAAACAGATTCATGTCTGGCAAACAGGAAGGATACAGTGGGGCCAGGCAGGACACTGGCGAACAGTCTGAGATTGAGCCTGCTCAGCAACTTCAGTGCTGATAATGAATTAACCTTTCTGGGGGAAAGTAAGCTCAGGATTAAGACAGGGATTTAAACTATTATTGTCCTTCAGAAAGAATAAAACACAAAATTCCCCCCAACATCTTAAAATTTTAGGTGATGCAATGTCTGAAGTTAACTTGAAATGTTTAAGTGTATAAGCCATTGGGAATCACAGTCACTTTATCAGGACCCCAGGGAGAATGATGAATGTGAGCAGGAAAATTCTCAGGAAGGGATATTTTTTATAGTTGGGTGCTTAGGAGATGTCTCCCTGTAGCCCCTCAAGGGGACTGTTTGGGGTCATCCTGCTTATGTCAGCTGCATTCGTGATAGATACCACTCTAGTCTCTCTGGGAGGGGACCTGCATTGACCATTAATAAACTGGACATAAGAGACTGGCTGGGGTGCAGTGTGGTGTTTTTGCACGTGGAAATACAATCACAGAGAGGAAAAGGGAAAAAAATAAGCCGCAGGAAGAAGTTTATATATGTGTGTGTATGTGCAAAGCTATATGTATATATGTAAATATATGTGCATGTAATGTGTGCTATACATGTACGTTCAATTTGACATTCCATATTCTTCTGTCTGTGCCTTCCGCAGTGCCTAACATACACTGGGTGCTCAGTATATGCCTCTGTTCTGATGATCTGTCACTAAGGCAGAATCCCCTTCTGGAATGGGAAAAGAGATTTAAGGTCCTCTCACCACTGAGATGGAATATACAGCATGAGGTACCAAACAGCTGTTGGCGTCAACAGGCCACTTTAAAAAAATTACAATAGTTACCTTTTTAATTCAATAAATGTACTGAAGACTTATATGTTGGATACTCTGTCTGGTAAGTATAAAGATAAAATATGTAATTCATGTCCTTTAAACCCTTAAATGGACTGCACTGCTAGAGGCAAAAACATTAGGATATGGACTAAAAAAATCTTTTTTTTTTTTTTTTTTTAAGGGAATCAAAACAAACCTGCATCACTGAATTCTGCTGCAGAGGAAAGTTTTGCCATACTGCAATTTCTCTATGTAATCATATTAAAAGTAATCCATGTTCTTGGTAAAAAAAAAACTTGAAGAGAAAAGGAAATGACTTTGCCTGCTTTTGTTTTTAATTCAGTTAGTCCTTCAATCATTACTCTAGGTAATATATTTAATACTCAGGTTTTTCTTTCTAGATGTATCAACTTGAGACAGTGCCTAATGATTTCTCATATGAAAGAGACAAGGTCTTTAACAGACTTATACTACCACTTCCCCTTCCCTTACAATTTTTATTAGTTCTGTTGTTGCTTTCAATGCCGCTGGTGGGTCTTTGTAACTTTGAATATATCTAAATCTTCTATTTGTTGATTAATCGACTTCTGACAGCATCTTTCCTTTTACGCTACGTGAAGTGAGGAAACGCATCCATTTACCCTTCCTCCCACCTATACCCCCTCACACACAGACACACACACCTCTGTACAGTTATACCTGTCCTTTCACATTGCCGAAATTTAAAACATTTATATTTTGTAATTATTAAGTCATCTTCATTAATATTAATTAATTAATAATTTACTTTTTGGACTTATAGGTCAGTTAGAAAAATTATAAACAAATAATGAAAATGTACACTATTGCAACAATATCAATGTTAGTCACTAAAGAACAAAGTAGTCTGAGTGGATGTGTACAGAAGAAAACGTCACTAAAGAGAAGTAAGTGCAAATGTTCCTGGCATTTATGTCAAATGGATTCTCATTCTTATATTCCATCCTGCCATAGCTTAGTTTGTCTCAAGTAAAGGCTGTGCTTTTCCTAAAAAATTGTTAAACAGGGCATGCTTTTAGTGTACATAAAGATATGTATTTATATGAAAATGCATATAGACAGTTTTAAAACTTAAAGTGAATTCACTGTGAAAACTCCTTCTAGGCCAGGAATGAAACACTGCCAAAAAATAACCCAGAATGTCCCTGAGTGTCTCCCCTGCTTGCATCCTCTTTCAGCTCTCGCCACCAGCTATTAGGAATGGGGAATTTTGTGTTAATCATTCTCTTTTCTGGATGGTTTTTTACCATCCACGTATGCATTAATAAATAAACTATTCTTTGGTAGTTCTTGTTTTTAAACTTTAATGGAATCGTACTGTAGGTATTCTTCTGAGGTTCACTTCTGTCACCCAGTGTTAAGATTTTTAAACTCAGCCATCACGATGCGCGTAGCTTTGGTTTGTTCGTCCTCACTGCTGTGCAGTATCTCACTGCATAAATATACCATGAGTTTCTTATTTGTTCTACTCCTGATGGGCATTTAGAGTGTTCCATTGTGAACAACGCAATGGCAAACATTCATGAACACCCTTCCTCCTGTACACATTAGGAGTTCTGGGCCTTAGGGCTTACGTATGTCCAACTTTACCAGGGAATCCTAAACCAGTATCCAAATTAACACTCTCTCTGCTGGTGTATGAGCCCTCCCCCTGATCTGCATCCACACTAATACTTGTTATGGTCAAACTTTTAAAATTTTTTCTAATTTAATAATGTAGAGTGAAATTTCATTGCGGTGTTTGCATTTCTCTGAGTACTAATGAGGTAGAAATATTTTGTATTTGCTCTTCTGTGACATTTCTTAAAAAAACACTTCTTATTCATAGAAGCATTTTATCATCTCAATATAAATCATACATATACATACACATATATATCTCATAACTTTTTCCAGTGTTAGCTTTTTTATTTTTTCTGGTATCTCTGGATAACTATTAATATAAGTTCTTAATTTTAATGTACTTTAATTTATGTATATTTTTCTTTATTTGATATTTTTTGTGTTTTATTTAAGAAAAACATCAGAAAGATGTTCTATATTGTCTTCTGAAAGTATATAGTTTTACCACTCCTAGCTCTCTGGGAGGCCGAGGCGGGCGGATTGTCTGAGCTCAGGAGTTCGAAACCAGCC